CCAAGTGCAACAGCTGGAAGACCATCAGTTACAAGATTTACCCAGAGAAGTTGAACAGGAATTAATGCTTCTGGCATGCCAAGTATTACTGTTAAAAAGATACTAAAATATATATTATATTTAAATTGTCAATATTCTTTAATTTAAATAAAAGAATTTAAAATTAATAGAAAATGTAAAATATATTTACCTAACAACTTCACCAATATTTGAACTTATTAAATAACGAATAAATTGTTTGGTATTGTTATATATAGATCTACCTTCTTCAATAGCACCTTCAATGGATGCAAAATTATCATCAGCAAGAACCATATCAGCTGCTAACTTGGCAACATCTGTTCCAGATCCCATTGCTATACCAATATCAGCTTTTTTGAGAGCTGGTGCATCATTCACACCATCACCTGTCTATTTCATAATAATATGAATAAGATTATTTTCGACTATGAAGAAAGAAATAAAGAACGTATATATTCATAATACGTACCATAGCAACTATTTCACCTTGACTTTGTAGTAAATCAACAAGTTCGCTTTTGTGAGTTGGTTCAGTTCTTGAAAACAAACTAGCTTGCTTTACTACTACTAATTTTTCATCATTTGACATTTGATCAAATTCTCTACCGGTATATGACTTTCCTGTTAAATCTTCATGTTCGCCAAAGATACCAATTTTTCTACAGATAGCTTCAGCTGTATTTTGATTATCGCCAGTAATTACAATAACACGAATACCAGCAGTCGCACATTTTTTTATCGATTCAACAACCTCCGGACGTGGTGGATCAAGCATACCAACAAATCCAATAAAAGTCATGTTTTGTTCTATCTGGATAAATGCATTAGGATCATTAAGGTCGTATCTGCTCAAGGATGATGATGTCAATCCATCAATTTTTGCAATAGCTAAAACACGTAAACCTTGTCTACCATATTCTAAAATTTTTTCATTTAATCCTTGCCTAATTTTAGGAGCTAATTCTGTAGTCGCAGGACTAATATCTGATGATAAACGTACAAATTTGCAACGATCAAGTATAGATTCTGGTGCACCTTTTACAAGTAATGTAGCTGAAGAATCAACTTTAGTTGACTGAACTAGAACAGACATAGATTTTCTATCACGTGAAAATTCATGTGTAGCAATCTAAAATATAGAGTATAAATACAATATTGATTATACACTTTTTAACAAATAGCAAAATATTAAATAAATATTAAAAGCTTACACGATGATTATGACCACCGTAATAGTTATTACAGGCAGTTGTACGAGCTTTTGGTGATAAATCAGAAAGGGAAGAATTGAAATGTGAATTATCAGTGCCAAGTTTTTCAACAAGAACTTTAAGAGCAGCTTCTGTGGGTTCACCAACATTATGATACGTAGAAGTTGACTAAATGTTATTAATGTAAAATTACTGTTATTAATAAATTACTTATAGAGCAGATAATTACAATAAAAATAAAAACTGAAATATTTACATCATCATAGGCAATCTGTGAATCATTACATAAAGCACAAACTCGAGCCAAATCATTTACACAAGCATTAATTACAGAAAGTGATTTGACAATTTTGCCATCAGAAGTGCTGTAAATAATTTTTATTAGCTTTTTTTTTTTTTGAAATGAATAAGAGTATAAATGTAAATATATTAAAGAATAACTTACAAAATATCACCATGTGGAGCATAACTTGAACCCTCAACATGATATTCTTGAAATTCACAAGATTCATTAGACACAACAAGTACCTAAATAATTATATATTAGTTTATTTGAAAATTAGATATATATATAAAATATGTGTATGTATGTGTATGTATACATGTATGTAGTATATATGTATGCATACCCTTGACACACTCATACGATTTGTAGTAAGAGTACCAGTTTTATCGGAACATATAATACTGGTGCAACCTAATGTTTCTACGGATGGAAGAGAACGAACAATAGCATTCTTTTTTGCCATTTTTTTGGTACCCAAAGCCAAACAAGTAGTAATAACTACAGCCAATCCTTCAGGTATTGCAGCAACAGCTAATGCAACAGCAATTTTGATGTTGACATTGAACATGGTTTAACTGAGAAACAACTCCAAAAGGCAATCGAAAAATATGGAAAAAATGGT